GCTTTAGAAGATGTCCTGAGTGAATGGCTTCAATAAGTTGCAGCAATGGCTCAGCTTAAAAACAAAAAAAAAAGAAAAAGAAGGCATATCGTGATTGTAATTAGAGTTTTGTTATGGTGGGTAGATGACTGTCATCCTACTAGCGGTTTTTTCCTGTGGCTAAACCAGTCTTATGTTCAGTAATATTCATGTACGTGGTGGTTTTTGCTTGCCTGTATTTCTTTCAGCTGGTTACTCAAAGCACATAGGAGGTCTGGTTGTCAGGTCTTAGATCAGCAGGCTTTTCTTTCCCTGTATTGCTCATAAAAGGCATCCAAAAATAAATCGTGTAGAGGTTTGAACATGCAGATTTTGTCATAGAAATCTTGCCTTATGTAAGGTCTAAGGAAAGTAAGTTAAGGCACGTGATTTCAGGGAGTGCAATATCTTTTTGTTGGCAGGGAGAAAACCGCAATAAAATCACTTGGTTCATGCATCTGATTAATGTCAATAGTATGTATTGTTTCCCTGTTCTTTCTCAATACTGAAATACGAGATTAAAAAAACAAACATAAACTGGAGAAAACATGGGGAAGATTAGTGTTATGTCTAGGATTTGACTCTTTCTTGGTTGAGGTGTACTTAAAATTAAAAAAAGATCAAGTGTGCCAGTCATTTTGTGTTGTTCTAAAGCCAGATATCCCAGCTTTTGTGTTCTCATTGCTGTTTATAATTCCCACAGACAATTGGGAGAAATGAAGGCCTGAGCCTGCAGTTTCTTTCTGTGCAGGAGTAAGTCTGCCCAGCTAAAATAAATTGCAACATTGGAGCCTGAGGAAAGAGTGAAACAAACAAACATGCAATTGTGTTCAAATAGCCTTTACAAATAAGGGGATTATCTTTGAGGAGTTAACTATAGTTTTTTGTTGCAATGACAATTGGTACTGTTTTCCCGGTAGGATGTTGTGTTAGGTTATTGTTCTCTCCGGCATGGATTTGTTTAGCTGAGCTATAAACGCTGTAAAACTTTATCTAAAATCATTTAACAAAACATTTTGTAAACACTGTCTTTTTTTCTTTTTTTTTTTTAAGGCAGGGATTCATCTTTGTCCACATGTACCACTGAGAATCAGCCTGCACACTGTTTCTTTAAGAAAGCAAGCTAGTGAGAAGTCGAATGCCTAAGCAGCAGTTTAGCATAGAATTTTTGAAGGGCTTGTCTCTGAAAGTGTGTGGCTTTTTTTAATTGTGAGATCTAGATAGTTTTTTTCCCTGTTAGTGACTGCTCCGAGTTCAAATTCTTTTTTATCACAATATGCGGCCAGTTCAGTTTCCTTCTCTACAAACCATCCTTTCTTGCTTATTTTTAGCCTCACTGAAATTCAAACAATCATCTTTGTTTCTGTTCCTGTTTGTATACTGATATTGTTGGATAATTTCAGATGTCAAAGCAGTTAGAAGAAGTATTGTTGATATAAGCTCCCTCTGCTGGTTAGTTCTGCAGTAGAAATAAAGCTATATGGTGTATAGTTGTTTGTCACTGAATCATGCAGGAGAAATGAAAAGACAGTTAAAAGCAGTGACATACAGTGTTTCTAAAAGCAGCTATGTACCAGAGCACCAAGTTTAAGCTTATGACTTTTACACTTATAAAGTTTTTGATTGCAATTAACTTAAAATCTAGATGTTGATATGTGAGTGACAGATACTCCTTAGAACTGCTGCTGCCATGTTGCATACAGAATCTAAACAATAGCTTGAGAGCCAATATATTGAGACAGCTATTTGCATGCAGATTAAAATAACTTCATTACTTTGGACTCCATCTGGTACATTTGCTACTACATTGCACTTAAAAACTTTCAGTTAAGGTGCAGTCATTGCATAGTAGTGGGGTCCAGGCCTCTATGTGATTATCAGGAGAAGTAAACAATAAACTTAGCTCTCTTATTGATGCAGTACAGGAAGGGTGAGTGAAGGACACTGTGTTTCTTTGTGCAACTGCTTGCAGTGACATGACTGAGGTCTCGTAGATGAGCCTTTCATAGCAAGGATTTGCCCAGAAGAAACTGCACACACCTTCCCTCCCCATATTCAGACAAATGTTGCACAAGGATGAAGTTTGAGTGTGATTGGTGTGAGAGGTCAATTGCAACGTTGCAGAGTGTCTATCCATTTGGAAAGTGTGCAGTATGTCTTCGAGGATGCTAAAATTAATTGGGTTTCTGTTTTGGTAACACTGAGTTACTTTACTGACATCTCCATTTACAGTACTATATATAAATATATACTCCCCAAATACTTTCTTCCCCACTGTAGACCTTTTTTTTCCCCCTCCTCTGGCAACTAGAACTTTTATTGGAAAACTAGGAAAGTGGCTAAGGTTGTTAAGGAATCCATCTTTAGAGAGGAAAAAGGTGGTGCTTATGCTTAGATTGGGCATTTATTTTCTGTGGAAAATGGAGAATAAGTAGTTAAAACAGCTTTCTACGCGCAGTTAAAGCTAAGAAACAGTAGTCCATGTATAAACCCCAGAACTTTCAGATTTGTATGTTATTTCACTTATTTAGACATAAGCATAAACAAAAATAGCTGCTGTTGCTACTGTAAAAATGTTTCAACTGAATGATGATAGGTACTCCAGCAAATGGCAGCATCTAAGGACAATATTTGTAGAGGAGGGGAAAAGGGTGTGTGTTTGGGGAGAAACAGTACATATTATATAAGAGGCAAGAGGTGGTGTTTGTTGTTTGCTTGGTTTTGTTCTTAAGGGTTTTTGTTGCTAAACCTAGAGAGACTTTAGGATTGAGATTTATGAAAGAAACTAACCTGCCAGTGGCAGATCAGTTGTCATTAAAAACCTTTTAGGGGAAACCTTTGAAATAACTTTGTAGGATTGTAGTAACAGTTGAAATTGGAAATACACAGCATTGTTTTAGATAAAGCAGTGTTACACCTGTCAAAAATTGTAAGGCTCTTCATCTGTGGATAGAGTTCATTGCTCATGTCTTCAATCTGGAAAGTCTTGTGTGCTTGAAAGCTTTTCGTTATCTACTGGTATTAGTTTGCCTGACAAGATATCCAGTTGAGCTTTGAGGTATGGGAAATGCGGTGTAACTCGCATAGGTTTTGGAAGTGCTTGGAAAGGTTTTGTCAAAGAGGAGTGGTTAACTGAGTCATACAGTAGTAGAAAATAAGCCAAGCGGATTAAAGACCTAGTGCAAAGATCAGAAAGGGATAGATGAAGTAGCGCATTTTAAACTGGTTACCTTTAGAGTAGAATAGGTTCTCAGGGTGCTGTAAAACTTGTTAATGTTAATTTACTAGGACATTCTCCATCAAAATAACATTTTGTTTTCATGTCTTAAATTGACAGGATGTATTGAAAAGAACTTCAGTGAAGAAAATATTTTTCTTGATGTCCAGTTTGTGCCTTGCCAGTTGTATATTATATGAGGCAAATTAAATAGGTAAAGTCAGAAGGGACAATTACTTGGCCTGCTCAAAAGAACACGTCATTGCTGTCTCCTTTTAATTGATTGATAGTGTCATACGTTAAAAGATTTACCAAAGCGAGGTAACAAATCTTAGCAGCTAACTAGCCTGAGTTTGTAACTGGAGTAGAAATTAAGAAGGCTTAAATGCATTCACATCTGTTTAGCTGTGCAGAATATGCTGTGGTCTTGGCATCAGGTAGACTTTCAAAAGCTGTTCTATAATACATCTAGTATATGAATGTGCCATCTGGAGACTTCAGGTGTTTTCAAGACCTGCTTCAAATGTGAAATGTAGAGTGAAGTCAGGCTCTTAGTGATAGAGGTGCCTGTAGAGCAGATCTGGGTTTGTTGGAGCAAGGTTATGAAATTTGATAAGGAGACAAGTCTGGGTTTTGTGTGTGTTGGGTTTTTTTTGTACACATACTTCCACTATGACCTCAGTGTTTCTCAAACTTCTTAAAAACAATAATAATAAACCCCCTCCTTCCAAAAAACGTGCACTGAACAACCTGTATTTTAGGATTGACTGCTGGTCTTGAATAGCTTTCTGAAGCCATGTTTTGGTTGTCAGCACAGTTTTGAGAACCAAGCATCAGAAGTAAAGGAAAGACGCTTTCTTTTGTGTTCTCACTGTTGTCCATATCTGATACCCAGGCATCATCAAGAAGCAGCCTGACTTGAAAGCAACAAAGCAAAGAATAGAGGGATACTATAGGACTGGAGCAAACAAATGAAAAGGAAAGAACTAAATGTTGATGAGAGGATGACATCTGGATAGAGACTGCATTTCTTACCCATTGAATGATTCCTTAGTCTTTTTTTTTTTTTTTAAATAAGTGGTTTATTGTGATTTGTATCATGTCACTGACATTCTGTGGAATTCTCCATCTAGTGCTTTTCAGATTTCACAAAACTTGCTGATACTCCTGAGCGTGGATCATAGATTGTCAGTGGCAGAATCCCTTCAGGGTATGAGCAATGGTACAATTTTTATGTGCAGGATTGAAGGCCTAAATAAGCTCTGTAGGTTTGTGTTGACTGTCAGCTTTGTTCTTGAGCTGGTGCAATTGCCCTGAGGAAACAGGGGAAAAAGGAGCATTTTGGAAGGATGGATTGTATACAACTGTGTTCACTGACAGATGATGTCTATACCCAGTCATGTTTCCAGCTTTTAATGTGGTCCAGCTTGTTTCTAAGTAACAGATTACAATTTCACTTAATCACTTTTCTCTGATGTGTTTCACTGCTTGATTGTACAAACTCATGAGCTTACCTCATGCTTTTGTGCTCTCACAAACAGTTTTTGACCATAATAACGGCTTTTGATTACGCAAGAGATGGCAGATTTGGGTCATATGCTCAACAACCCCAGCTTTATTTTTATTTGCAGGTTTCACATATACATTAACAGCTTGCTTACATGGCATATATAAGTTGTAAGACTGTAAGAAATTGTCACCAGTGAAAATTTTATAAATGGGAATTCCACCTGAAGCTTCCTCAGAAAATGCCCTCAGAATCCACTCTGCCACCAGTGGATATTTGCTAGATCACAAGCTTTTAGTAAGTTTTCTTGTAGAACAGCAGATGTTCAGTTGTACTGAATACGGTTTACTTAAATATCCCGTTAAGAAAAGATCTGTTCTTCCAATGTCCTACCAGTGACTTGCTATTTGTTCACCTTAATACATGGAAATATAATTACATATTTCATATAGAATAGAATGTTATACTATCAGAGCCACAACACGTCTTTTCTCTCATTCAAAGGAAATCATCTTATTGCCGGTTGGTGAAAGTGCAAAATACACTTTTAATAAGCTTTTGGTTTTATTACAGCAATGTCATCTTACCTGTAGAAACGTCATGACACACAGCAGCATCATGGTGGATGTAGGCAAGTGGCCAATATTTACCCTATTGTCACCTCAAGAAATAGCATCTATTCGGAAAGCATGTGTATTTGGTACATCAGCCAATGAAGCTATATATATAACACACAATGATGAGGTAAGGCTGTAATAAAGTGGAACATATACTCTACAATTAGTTGTTTTCAGAGTCCACTGAATACTTGTAAATTAATAGCTTCTCAAAAGCATTGTGTGAGATTTGTGTATTTCAAAACATATTGGATGTAACTTGTAAGTTTTGGGGCTTTTTTTTCTTAGTCTTGTATGGGGGCAATATAGATGGAGTTTTAGAAAACTTACAAATGACAAAGGCCAGGATGGATTACATGCACTTTTGAAGGCAGTCAGAATTCAAAAGAAGTTGTGGTAGCTTGAAATTAAGTGCAAGCACTCCAGGTATGAAGATATAAAATGAGGTTATGGCTTGCTAAGTAACAATACAGCAGAAGATTATCAGTGGATTTTAATGATTTGGAAACTCAGTGTGAGTTAGCGTTATGCTGCTGAAAGAAAACAAGCCAGATGTTCTGGGATGTATTAATGGGAGGGTTTCTTCTAAGACCAGGTAGAGTAGGATTTTTTTTTCTTTTTTCCCTTAAGTCCTATCAAAGCTGCCTGTAGGTTGAGCCTCTCACAGTACAGGTGTGGCTGCTCTTTACAAACTGCTTTTAAAAGGTGGTGTCTTCCACTTTCACAGTTTAATACTTTTCATAGTACAGTTTCTGCCAATGAGAAGGCTAGCTTCCAGGCCTGCACGGATCTGAAGAATTCAGACTCATCAGCTAACTTCCAAAGTGTCCCTGCGCTGACTCTTGAGCTTGTTAACTTCCATGAAGGAGGTCTCCGGCCCTCGAGAGTCCATGGCAAAACTCTGTCCTGGCTTTATGAAGACCTGGATATTACCACCTCTGTGCATACCTGAGTATGAATCACTTGAAATGAATATTCCTCTGTTTTTCAGGTATTTGTTTTTGGACTGAATTGCAGTAATTGTTTGGGAACTGGAGATAATCAGAGCACAATAGTACCAAAGAAATTAGAAGCCTTATGTGGAAAGAAGATTTCCAGTCTCAGTTATGGAAGTGGGCCCCATGTTGTACTTTGCACTGAAGGTAGAAAATTAACATTTAGTATAGAAACATAAGTTACAGATTTTAAGTTCCACTTGCATTTAACAAGAATGGATTAAAGTGTAATTGTATTAACTTGTTAATTGGTTAATCTACACTAAGGGGTTCTCATTGGTCTTAAGTGGAACTAAATGTATTCTGTAATAGGTAAAGTAAGTTTCTGTTACATTTCCATTATGTTGCAACTGTAGAGTTTTATGCTATTATTTATGACATACTCAGTCTTACCTGTGCACTGTCATGTATTTCCACAATAAATCTAGAGGTTATACTGTGGTATATGTATATAAAATAGTTGTATACAAAGTACATAATTTTTTAGTATACAGATGATTCTTGTAATAGTTTCACTACTTGTTAATGTCCTTTCGCTTTCACGTTGGCATTTGCTAATTTCTTAGAATTCTATCTAAACTTCCTTGGAATTTTTGGTGGTTTTTATCACAAATATTTTTGCAGATGGTGAAGTGTATGCCTGGGGACATAATGGTTACAGCCAGCTTGGGAATGGCACAACCAATCAGGGCATTACTCCCGTTCAAGTTTGCACGAATCTTTTAATAAAGAAAGTGGTGGAAGTAGCTTGTGGCTCTCATCATTCCATGGCGCTGTCGTTTGATGGGGATGTAAGTTGAAACCTGTTCAAACCTCTTAATTTCCTTCTTGAAGTGAATAGTGCAGGTGACCTTGCAGTCTGAAGTTCTCTCTTTCTCTACAGTGTAGTTACAACATAACCCGTTCTCTTGCTGCCTCAAACTAGAGTGTCCTTTTCTTCAGAGCAGAATTGAAAACAACTCAAAAAAAAAAAAAACCAACACCCACAAACCCCAACAAAAAAACCCCAACCCAACCACAAAAACAAGGAAATAAAAGGCTAGTAAACTTTTGTTGTATGTCTACAGGGATGAGACCAGAAAGCTGTGCCGCTTACAGGTGAAAGAATGGTTTGTAAGGTGCAAAATGTAACATTGTTATTTGCTTGCAATTCTGTTTTTTAAGGGGTATATTGAGTTGTTTGTACTCGCTGATTACCAACAAAAAAACCCCAACCCAACCACAAAAACAAGGAAATAAAAGGCTAGTAAACTTTTGTCTTTCATTTGTTGTATGTCTCACAGGGATGAGACCAGAAAGCTGTGCCGCTTACAGGTGAAAGAATGGTTTGTAAGGTGCAAAATGTAACATTGTTATTTGCTTGCAATTCTGTTTTTTAAGGGGTATATTGAGTTGTTTGTACTCGCTGATTAGCCTTTAGTCTGTTTCTTGCAGTCTTCGTGATTTCCACACTGGTACTCTGAAAGAATGTTGCTCTGCACACCTCTGAATATTTCTGTGTGTAGCTAATGAAAGAGCACTTGGTTTATATCCAAGTCTCCTTTATGCTATTTGTTGACGTGGCTTAAGGCTATGTGTAATGGGAAACATGTACAATTAGTTTCCAGTTAGTCAGATTTGACTAGTGTCTGTGTGTCCGCTTTGAGTTGCGTGTTACTTCATGGAGGAAAGCCTGGTTTCAGCTCTGCTTTAACAAAAGAAGAGTTCTAATTTTAAAACCTTCCTAACAATGAAAATGGAAACTACAGTTCTTTCCATCCTGATAATCTGAGCATGTCTGTGTTATGATTCAGTATGGAGTCATAGTGCAACAGTAATACAAAGTAGCAAATCAGTATTTTGAGAGTAGGAAAGAGACATTTGGTTAATTTAAGTGATCTGTGTTGTATCTGAAAGGAGAGCCTACACTTAGGAAAGATCTTCATGCTGTCACGTTTGACTTGGTTAATCTATAAAATTTGGTTTGCATGCGGGAAGGCGAGGGTGTTCATGTATTAGTTAAACTAGTGGTGCGAGCTGCAGTGTGGTAGCTGCCTGTGATGACCATGCTGTCACTTGTAATAAATATAACATGCTTGGAATCTCAATGGAAGCAGGGAAGTTTCATTGTATTTACCACGGAGTTGATATTTGCAGCTCCCTTGCCATTGTGTCTAGTTAATGTACTATAAATCCATCCCTAGCGTACCTTGCAGTAGCTTAGTCTATTTGTGCTCTGAGGTTTTATCTGTACCAGAACTGATTATACTGAAAGCAGCGAAATGTGTTAAGTGGAGTTTTATTTACAGAAAGATTTGGCTGCAAAAACCCTTGTGACTTGATATATCATTGGAGTTTCAGAATGGCATTGAAGTCAGAAGTATTTGTGGAAATGATTTGTACGGCTGGTTCAGTGCAATTTTAATGCAGTGCAAATTTTAAAAAAAAAAAAAGTATCTTAATGATAGACTTTAAGGACTGCAGACATTCGTGCTTCTCTGAGAAAGGAAACATATTAGCTCTTTGGCTTTTTGATCTACCTTCTGAGATTCTGTACCTTACCTGGAATTTTTTTTCCATGTTATAGAAGTTAAGTTATTTTATAGAGCATCTTCAAATATTCAGTAGGAATCAAAGATCCAGCAAATACAAGTAACAAAAAGCAAAGGACTAATGCTTTCTTTTGTTCATATTAGACATGGTAAATGAGTTGTGTTGGTGGGAGGTTTTTTCTTCTTGTCTTTGGTGGGGGTTTTTTTTTGGTTGGTGTGTTTTGGGTTTTTGGGTTGGTTTTTTTGGGGTGGTTTTTTTTTTGGTGGTGGGGAGATGTTTGTTTCTAATGACTGACTTCTGGTTTGGTGTTGCAGTAAACAGGTGGCTTCTGGCACCAAAGGATGTGCAGACTTCACATTAGGGTATCTGTCAGAATGTTTTTACTGACTAGCATGTCTGTGGCTGGGTATTTCCAAGAGGACAAACTTTTTTTAACTGGGTGAAGCACCAGAGGATGAACTATCAGGAATAGTTTTATGCCAAGCTATGGCTGTGTATGCACATAATAAAAATTGAAAGAACTGAAAATACAAAACTGTAATTATTTTTCTATAGCAAACTACTTCCCTGTCTTCTGGACTTTTAGATGAAAGGAACCAATATTTTTGTTTTTATTATTATTATTAGTTTGCCACTAGCAAACTCTGAACTGTCAGAGATGGTGCTTTTTTCTTAATGCCATTGTGTAACAGAGTTTTGCTACTGGGAAACATGGGCGGACAAAACCATCTCCTGTCACAGCTCATGAAAGATGTCTGATGAATGTCTAGCAGTAACCTGGTTTAAAGTTCCATGAAGAAAACTAAAAGCTGTAAATTGGGGAGTTCAGCTTGTCTGGGAAACAAACAACATTCTGGCTTGCATTCCTTTTTCCAACATCATGAAAGTATAAAGACAGTCCACTCACTATGCTCTTTGTCTTATAGTCTGACTTATATTTAATACGAAAATAAGTTTCTTTTGTTTCCTCTTGTAGTCAGATGCTCTGGTTCTGTAGCAAGAAGCTGAAAAAAGTGCTATGTTCATATTTGCTAGATCAGTCCTATTGCTGTTTACAATTTTCAGCTGTTGAAAATTAATTTTAAGCATTTTAGCTTGTTAAATAGGATAGTTTACCCAATCTGATGCTGACTACAGCAAGATTGTAATTTGTTACTATTATTAAGGCTTAAACTGCAGTTGTTTGTTTGTTTGTTTTTATGGGCAGCTGTACGCTTGGGGCTATAATAACTGTGGTCAAGTTGGATCTGGATCTACAGCAAACCAGCCAACTCCTCGCAGAGTTTCGAACTGTTTACAGGGTAAAATGGTAGTTGGCATTGCTTGTGGTCAGACCTCCTCCATGGCTGTAGTAAACAATGGTGAGGTAAGCATTGCTGCATTCACACGTTCTCTCTCTGTTACCCAGACTTACAAGGTTAATGTCTGAACATGGAGAAATGCTGACATGGAGTGCTCAAGTTATAGAGTTATATTGATAGAGTTATATAGAGTTATATGGATAACTTCTGTGAGACCAGTTTAAGGAAAACTCTGCAATTAACTGGAGATGCTGTCTTTACACTAAACGTTCCTTCTTCTGGCAAAGACCGTATTGGAACATAATTCTTACTGAGTCTGCAACTGCAAGAATTTTACGGTTATATTAAGCATGCCTATCTTCCTCATTTCAGTAGATTGTTTAACATATGTCTTAATTAGATTTTTGAAATCATGCACAATTAAATAGTTAATCTTTCTGCAAGAATACACTGACTGGTCCTGGTTCTTAAACACATTGCTTAATTGCCAGCAACAGAACCAAACCAAGCTTTTGAACATTGCCCTAGTATTGTGCAACTGTTCCATTTGACGTAAGTCTATGGTGCTATCTTGCTTCTAGGTATGAACTGTAACCTCGATTTTACTACATTTCACCAAACTCGGAGCGTAGCATTTCTCTGTGACTGAAGGGACTGTAAAAGTCCCTGAGGTTGAGATGAGCTTTCATTGTATATACTTTTGTCTTGATGTGTCCACCATGACAAAACTAAAGGAAAAATTAGAGCTAAACTGGGGACTTCAGTTTAAACTAATCCAATAACTAATCAGCTGATCAGAATAACTAATTTCTTGTTTTCTTTAAAAAAAGAAAAAAGTAGTAAGGAGAAAGGAAAGTATAAAAGTCAACTAAAATGTTGACGCTATGGGAGAGATTTTGGTGTATTGTAAGTTTATTGCAAAATTCTTAGTACTTCAAAGACAAATATATTTTAGAAAGCTTCTTTAAAAGGTAAATGCAGGATTAAAAAGTTGAATACAGTCAGTCATTGCAGTATATTTAATATCTTTCAGCCTTCTCTATATTGCTCTTGAAATAGTGTACAGTTTTTTAAGAAGATGTACTTTTTTGACTTGTGCTTGATACTAAGTCTTAAGCGTTCTGTACTTCTACAGAGGAGTAGCTTAATTTTGTTTTCCTTTTGCAATCAGGTTTATGGCTGGGGTTACAATGGTAATGGTCAGCTAGGTCTTGGAAACAACGGCAATCAACTAACGCCATGCAGAGTGGCAGCGTTACATGGTGTGTGTATACTCCAGGTATGTCTAACATGGAAATGAAAATGCATTCATGTTGCTAGCATCCGCTAAAACTGTATCTTTGGAATCTTATACCTGCTTCTAGATTTCACAGTTCAAATACTGTTTGGGTGGTTTTTGGTTTTTTTTTTTTTAGTTCCTGTAAATTATATTAGGTTTATAAAAAGTGCAAGTAAGCTGTAAAATACTTGCTTTTGTAAATGTTCTGAATGATTTAAAGTTAGCTGGTGTAAATATAAGTAAATTATGCTACGGATACAAATTGCATCTTTGTTACAAAGCTGAATGAATGAAATGCACTAGGCAAAGACAAGAAATGAAGGGGAACAAGAAAACCAAGATGTTCAAATTAGATTCTACATTAATATCCTAATTAGCCCTTCAGAAGTGAGTGGAGAGGGAAAATGAGTCATGGGTGTGGGTGTGGTTGTTTGGTGGTTGTTTTTGTTTCTTTTTTTCCCAGCTAAAGAATGAAAATGAAAATTGGGATTTCCTAGGTTTTTAGTAAGGTTCTGTGGAGTTTCACGTGGTAACTTGGGTTGAACGGTTGTTGGCTGTTGAAGTGCAGCTCTCATAGTTTGTATAGTATTCAAAATATCGAATTCTCAAAGTGTTTCAGAGTTGCAAGACGTGATGATGAAGTTCGCTGTTCTTCGTGAGAAGAATCTGCAACTGAAAGCAAGTAAAGGCTAGGGAGACTTTGCAAGAGTGCAGTAAATTGTTTACGAGTAACCAACGAACGCTAAATTAATGAAGTTGGGACTTTTCCAGTACTTACAGTTAACGTATTTTGTGTTAGCTTTAAGTACTGAGAAATAACACATTGTAGTGCTAAATGAAGAATGCCTGAGATATTTAACATCAGCTAGACTAAGGTAATGTGCGATAATTTTGTTTCTCATCTCTGTTTTGTTTAGTAGTAATGCTTATACATTTACTTACAGATTGCCTGTGGCTATGCGCACACACTAGCACTAACAGATGAGGGTTTGCTCTATGCCTGGGGAGCTAACACTTATGGGCAGCTGGGAACTGGCAATAAAAGTAACCAGCTAAGCCCGGTGCAGATCATGATGGAAAAAGAAAGGTAATCTTGCTGGAGCTGTTTCTGGATTGATAAGTCTGAGCATGTGTTATGCAGTCTCTAGCACTGGAAGCATGCATATTTAGGGCTTGGTGGATTGTTTTTCTATCGCTAATGTTAAAAGTATAGGAAAGGATGGCAACTTCCTCTTTACTATAGACTGAGTGCTTTTTGCTATCTGTAATCATTATTGAAAGTAAATATACTTTGTATTTACCTGATACCAAAAGATAATGAATGACTAAGTGTTAGGCTATTCTAAATATGGTTCCTTTGATTAAAAATTTGGAGCTATGAAATCGATAAGCCAAGCTTTTAAGCTGTATTGAGGCCTATATTTAAAAAAAAAAAAGGAGGGGCGGAAGGAAGCACCACCTTTGTAAGAAGTGACGTGAGGAAAAAACAATTTTCTGAAAGGCTGAGAATAGCCAGCCATGAAATCAGAACTCGATTTGCAAGGTTGCTAGAGCTAAGGGCAGATAATACTACTTTTATCAGTGGTACCAGTCAGTAGTTTGTAGTTTCTTAGCTTCCTAGACTCATAAAAGAATAACCCTAACCCCTGTCCGCCCTCTTTCAGCACCCTTGTCATCTTCATATTTGGGATGGCTCTTCTGCTGTTCACCTACAAACTTGGACCTCAGTCCCATTCTCTGAACCCATGTGTATACCTATAGATTAATGTACCTCAGCTTGGAAACCTCTTAGTCTATAAATCCCTTAACCTGTAAATCTCTTAACTTGTAATCTCCTCTTAACTAGGAAACACTTGTGGTTGGTTTTTCTCCTCCATTTCTGAACTGTCTTTCTGGGAAGTCATTCCTATTTTTTCCTGTTTCTCACACTTAACATTAAATTAAAAGCTGCACAGTACTGAGATTATTTAAGAGCTTAAAAAATGGGTGGGAGAAAGAAGAAAGGAACCATCACAATAGAAACCACTGAGGTGAGGCTGGCTTGTCTGTGAAGGAACTGACACTAGCAAAGCAAAATGAAATATTCTTTTAAAAAGGCACTGGAAGAGAAATGTGTATGTTTGCAAATAGATCAACTTTGTTTTCTTAGCGATTTATTTCTTGAGTGAACTAAGAGTAACTTGCATTTAGAATCGTATGTGAACTCAAGCATGGGATTATAATAAAACTGGCATTTGTTAAATGACTAAAGGAGGGAGAAAATACTGTAGAACTTCTGCTTGGAATCGAAGGGAGAGATAAGTCACTTGAACTTACTCATCTTGCTTGACTTGGCTCCCTTGGAAACAGTGCTATAAGTGGGTGAGCTGTCATTTCCCATGAAGCATATTAATGCTGCTTTTCCTGGTCCTTTCATTTATATAACTCTTTTGCCATTTATATGTAATGCTGGTGACAGTTCCTTAGGAGGTGGCATTTGATGCTGTCTTGAAGAATATTGCACATATAGCTTGCAAGGAACTTTTAGACTTTATTTTGTGTTAGCTTGGAGGAACAGTTATGAAGGTCAACTTCCTGAATTTTGATGTTAAGTATATGCTTAACATGTATCCTGTACGTGTACTGTAAGCACACTGTACATGTACTATACATGTGCTATAGTACATGTTCTACTATGCTTCTTAAGTATAGTATAGTTACTCTAAAAGTAAGAATCTGTTGTGCTAAGGAAAGAAAGTTTGGGCAAGGAGGTAGTTTAGGTGGACAGCTATGATGGACAATAAGTTGTCCCTAAAATAATTACTTTATGATGTCTCATGCAGAGGTGCTGAAAGATCTCAATGCTGCATAGAGGTTCATAAGTTGATAACGGTGTAAAACAACACGTTAGTCTTTTATCTGCCAGAAATTATTGATACATATACTGAAAGTGATTGTAGATTCTTTCTGTGTTTTATCTTGAAATAATTTTTGCACTTAAAATGTGGGCTTTGTGCTAAAGAAGCTTTTTGCCTAAAAAGCTAACTCTTCATGGATATTGTTCTGTAAAGGAATAAACATTTTGATATGTATATTCTTAGACTGCTTGGAAAGACATTTATTTATCCCAGTTGATCTGTTTCTGGCACAAAAGCATGAAATCCTCTGATGCGTTTTTAGCATGGAGAAAAAACAGGAAAGCATAGCTTTTATTTTGAACTAACGCTGGAACTTCCTCTGGTTTTTGCTTATCATGTGAACTGAGACACTGGAAACGTCCTTGCGGTCCTTTTAATGGAAGGGCGATTCTTCTCAGTTCTTGTAATGTTTCAGATAGCAAGATAGGGATTGCGTGAGGAATGGGAGAATAGAATAGATAAGTGTGCATCAGCAGGTGTAATATTTTAAGGAAGTATGTGAGGTGGGTGAAAATACTATATAGACTTTATTTCAAATACAACCATAGCTCTTTGAGAATGTGGAGTTAAGTGTGTGTATTGCCTCTCCTCAGATGAAGCACTGTCCATTTTCCATGCTGAATCTCGGTGTTGAGGAAAGGAAACTAACAGCAAAATAAGAAGTCAGAAATACAGGCAGTAGGTCAGATCTCTGTCTACACACAAAAAACAGATTAAAGGCGGGATAGAAGGGTTTCTTAATAAAGGATTTATTGAAAAATACATAGGATCTAAATCTCAAAATGAGAGCATTTTTACAACATCTGTTTGAAAGAAGTTCTGAAAAATGCTCTGCAAAAACCTTAATAGTTTAACTTTCCTGCCTGTTCCCTAACTGGGAAGTTTCATAAGCTCCATAAGCATTTCTTGAGAATAAGTGTCTGATGTACATAGGTTTTAAAGGGGAAAAACAAAACTTGGCTTTGCTTCATCCCTTTCCCATGGTTATGGAAGAAAAGGAGGAATGTCAACTGATGAGAATGATGTAATTAAAGCAATATCTGATTACAATAAAATCTACAAGCAGTCTGAAAATGTCATTGCAGTTTTTAAATATTGATCCATCTAAACAGTATCATATTCGCACAGGACAAAGAAAGTAGTACAGGAGTGTAAATGCATGGTTTGGTTGGCTGTTATTTTGGTGAGGCATTTGGAAAATCACTTGATTCCATACCTGTAAGTATCTTACATGGTTTCTTCTGTTTCCAGGGTTGTGGAGATTGCAGCCTGCCACTCTGCTCACACGTCGGCTGCCAAGACCCAGAGCGGCCAGGTGTACATGTGGGGCCAATGCCGTGGGCAGTCAGTGATCTTTCCCCACCTCACGCACTTTGCCTGCACTGACGACGTGTTTGCTTGCTTTGCTACCCCTGCCGTTATGTGGCGTCTTCTATCAGTAGGTGAGAACAAGCTCCGATATGACAGCCAGTACTATAATCTCTGTGTACATTTGTAGTGATTAGTGCAGGATACCACTTCTGTGGCAGGATGGTTCTGGCTTTAAGGAGAACCGGCAATTAAAACTAGCTCTTCTAGCTAGGTTTTTTTCTTCTGAAGAAAACAATCTACTTCAGCAGCTAAGGATCCAGAATAGGATTAACAAGATTGTTTGTTTGCCAGTATACATCTGGAGAGAACCCTGTTTTACCATTGCACCATGGATATTGTGTATTTCCTACATTTGTATTGTTTGAGCTCTAGCTCAGGACTGGGAAGGACCCCTGGATCACTAAACACAACTTTTTTCTCTTAAAACTGTTGTGATTTAACCTCAGTCAGCAACTGAGTACCACCCAGCCACTCGCTCACTCCTCCCCGCCCCCAAAGGATGGGGGAGAGAATCAGAAGTGTAAAAGTGAGAAAACTCGTGGGTTGAGATCAAGA